CACGTGTAACAGACGCACACGTGTAACAAACGCGCACGTGTAACAAACGCGCACGTGTAACAAGTGTGCACGTGTAACAAACGCGCACGTGTAACAAACGCGCACGTGTAACAAGCGCGCACGTGTAACAGACGCACACGTGTAACAAGTGTGCACGTGTAACAGACGCGCACGTGTAACAGACGCACACGTGTAACAGACGCGCATGTGTAACAAACGCGCACGTGTAACAAGTGTGCACGTGTAACAAACGCGCACGTGTAACAAGTGTGCACGTGTAACAAACGCGCACGTGTAACACGAACAAACCAGATGTACAGCACTATGAACATGTGAACAGACTCAGGAAAAAGTGAATAAAGTGAAGTCAAGTTAAAAAGACTCAAATTAAGAAAATATCTGTGATTCTGAACTTTACATTTACAAGATGTGTGATGTGTGTCCAGGCGGTGGCGCTGTGTGGGCGGGGCCTCTGTGTGTGGGCGGGGCCTCTGTGTGGGCGGGCCTGTGTGGCGGGGCCTCTGTGTGGGCGGGGCCTCTGTGTGGGCGGGGTGTGTGGGCGGGGCCTCTGTGTGTGGGCGGGGCCTCTGTGTGTGGTCGGGGTCTGTTGTGGGCGGGCCTCTGTGTGTCGGTCGGGCCTCTGTGTGGCGGGGCCTCTGTGTGGCGGGGCCTCTGTGTGGGCGGGGCCTCTGTGTGGTCGGGGTCTGTGTGTGGGCGGGGCCTCTGTGTGGGCGGGGCCTCTGTGTGGTCGGGGGCTCTGTGTGGGCGGGCCTCTGTGTGGTCGGGGCCTCTGTGTGTGGGGGGCCTCTGTGTGGTCGGGGCCTCTGTGTGGGCCTCTGTGTGGTCGGGGCCTCTGTGTGTGGGCGGGGCCTCTGTGTGTGGTCGGGGCCTCTGTGTCGGGCTCTGTGTGGGGGGGCCTCTGTGTGGTCGGGGCCTCTGTGTGGTCGGGGCCTCTGTGTGGGCGGGCCTCTGTGTGTGGCCTCTGTGTGGTCGGGCTCTGTGTGGGGTCTTGGGGTCGGGCTCTGTTGTGTTGTGGTCGGGGCCTTTGTGTGTGGTCGGGGCCTCTGTGTGGTCGGGGCCTTTGTGTGTGGTCGGAGCCTCTGTGTGGTCGGGGCGGGGCTCTGTGTGTGTGTCGGGGCGTCTGTGTGGGCGGGGCCTCTGTGGGCGGGTCTGTGTGGGGCCTCTGTGTGGCGGGGCCTCTGTGGGCGGGTGTGTGGGCGGGGCCTCTGTGTGGGGGGCCTCTGTGTGGGCGGGGTCTGTGTGGGCGGGCCTCTGTGTGGGCGGGGCCTCTGTGTGGGCGGGCCTCTGTGTGGGCGGGGCCTCTGTGTGGGCGGGGCCTCTGTGTGGGCGGGGCCTCTGTGTGTGCGTGGTTAAACGTGTGTGTGATTCGTGTCGCGTCCAGGCGGTGGCGCTGGACTCGGAGCAGCGGCAGGAGCAGCAGAAGCTCCTGTCGTACCTGATCGGACACGACCTGGAGAAGGAAACTCGCGACCGTTTGGACGAGCTGACGTTCACGCGGAGGAAGCTGGCGTCGCCGCGGCGACAGGAGGTGGCGAGCCGCGACCCGGCGGCGTACGCCACGGAGCCCTGGGTGACGGACGCGCCGCTGCCCCCTGACCTCCTGGAGCTCGCCAAGAGGAAGCTCATGGTCACGCTGCACTACAAGGACAAGATCAGCTTCAGCCTCAAGGTGGAGCACGGGCACACGGCCGACGGACTGTTACAGGTGAGACGCGCCACCTGACCACGCCCACTCACACCTAACACCTCAGACTCACACCTGACCACGCCCACTCACACCTAACACCGCCCACTCACACCTGACCACGCCCACTCACACCTAACACCTCAGACTCACACCTGACCACGCCCACTCACACCTAACACCTCAGACTCACACCTGACCACGCCCACTCACACCTAACACCGCCCACTCACACCTGACCACGCCCACAAACACCTAACCACACTCACAAACACCTAACACCGCCCACTCACACCTGACCACACCCACAGACACTGACCCCGTCCACAAACACAGTCCTGGTTCAGTCCCGGTTCAGACCTGGTTAAGTCCTGGTTCAGTCCTGGTTCAGACCCGGTTCAGTCCCGGTTCAGACCCGGTTCAGACCCGGTTCAGACCCGGTTCAGACCCAGTTCAGTCCGGTCTCTGGTCTTGCAGATGGTCCGCAGGGTTCTGGAGGAGCAGTGTGTGGACTTCGATCGCTCAGACCCTCTGGTTCTGAAGGTCTCGGGTCGTGAGGAGTTCTTCAGCGGACACCACAGACTCTGCAGCTTCCTGTGGGTCCGTCACTGCATGAAGACCCACACGGAGCTGCACCTGTCGGTCCTGCCGTGGTCCTGCCTCCCCAGCGACGCCCTGGACTCGGAGGACTGGCCGCCCGTGGACGGTTTCAGCGGTCAGTTCAGCTCCCACGACGACCTGCGTCTGGACAAGAAGGACGTGGACGACATCTGCATGATCTCGTTGTGGGACTGT